GATGATTAGTGACTTTGAGCATGTTTTCATATGTCTCTTGGCCTTCGTTATGTCCTCTTTCAAAAAGTATCTATTTAAGTCCATTGCCCATTTTTTGATTGGGTTGTTTATCTTCCTTTTGTTAAGTTGTATGAGTTCCCTGTAAATTCGCCACTTAGATTTTGCTCTCTCTTTAGCTTTTGGGTAAACAGGCTATTTGAGAAGTTAGCTCGATTAGTATTTACACTTTATGTGCAAAACTATACACCAATAAGATTATATTTTTCTCTGCAGAGTAATCTCTGCTAGGCTTGTTTCCAGTCCTTTCTGTTTGCTGTGTTTGGTTGTGGGATTTATCTTCTTGTCATACCTTCACTGCCTTTCCTTGGAGGGAAAGGGGGCTCTACATCTTTCTTATAGCTTCCTACAATTTCAAGTATCAGTTTTTACAATTTCTTAACTTCAATGTTGAACCTTTTCATGAGCCAGATTGAATTGTGTCTGGCTAATATTCTCTGGAATTTATGTGAGAATTCTTCCTGTCTTATGATAAAATTTGCTCCTCTATTTCTGGTTTAAATGGACAGATACTGGGACAATAGAGAGAGGCTTGGAAATGTTCAGTTAAACGCTCAATGATGGAATTACCCTAATGAAAATCACATATATAAATATATATATTTACTAGTTTAACAGAGGGAATACCACTTTCAAAGTGACCTGAATACTTATTGCTCCCATCCCTTGTTCTTGTTTATTTGCCAACTAAATATTGGAGTGTGCAATATTCTATCTCACTGTGATTGGAGAATAGCATGTTTGAGTTAGTCTGAGGTATAGTTTTGAGTGATGAGAAGGTTCAGGATGTGACCTAGAGAGAGTGAGAAGTGGAGGTTGTGTGAACCAGAGCAGTGGAAGCGAGATCAAGGAAATGTTAGATGGGTCATAATGAGAGATGGTAAGAGACCAGGATGACTGTGAACTAGGTACTAAAGATTAGAAAGTCGGTAAGAAGGTAGTATAGTTGCATGGAGACTGAGCAAAGTGTAACTATAGAGTCACAAAACAGAGTTAACTATACTGTGTGTATCCTGTGGAGCTACTAGTACATCTTCATTCCTGTGACAGGGCGTGTAGTAAAATATCATTTTGTAATAAAAGTAACATATACATCCTATCTAGTAAAAGGGTAATATGCAAATGAACTGTCACTCT